GCGCTGGTGTCGGTGCGTGTGGGTTCCGACGGCTATGCCGTCTCTGTCTCACTTGTTGGGTCGAAACCCAGCAGCTTAAGAGACCTTGGAGGGTCCTTCAGCCTCAATTTAAAATCTTGATCGTTTTCGGGGTTGGGGGGAAGTCCTGAGACGTGGGTGGGCACGGTGGGGGGTTGCTGGTGCTACCATGGGGCCAGCACTGGGGGAAGCTGCAGCATCCTGCTGCCTGCCCTGCTGGTGCTCGGTGGCCAAGGGCTTGTGCCCGGGTGGACTTGTGCCCGCGTGGCCTTGCTGCCCCTTCACCCCCGCCGTGCACCCCTGCGCAGGCCAAGTACAAAGCGCGGGAGGCGGCGATGAAGGCGCAGTCGGAGAAGAAGCACGGCTCAGATAAAGAAGAACGCGGGAAGCTGCCCGAGTCTCCCAAAACAGCTGAGGAGATCTGGCAACAGAGTGTCATCGGAGACTACCTGGCTCGTTTCAAGGTGAGGAGCGGGCCGGGAAAGGAGCTGGAAGTGGGATTGTCACTCCTACCGGCGGGAATTGCCTTGTGTCTTCTCCCCTGCTTTCACACCCAAGGCGACAGGTTGGGACTGGGAGCCGTGGGGGGCACAGGGGTCACAGCAAGGGAGCGGGTGCCCCGTGGTCCGTGGCAAAGCCAGCGGTAGCGCCCCGGCATCCTGGGCATCTTGGGAACATCTAACGTGGTGCTGGGGTCTGTGCCACAGAACGACCGGGGTAAGGCGCTGAAGGCCATGGAGGCCACTTGGAACAACATGGAGAAGAAGGAGAAGCTGATGTGGATCAAGAAAGCAGCGGAGGATCAGAAGCGGTATGAGGTGCGTCCCTGCTCCATCTTGACCCTCGCCATGCCCTCGTGGTGGGTGCTGCCCCCATCTCCCTGACCCCTCTTTCTCTGGCTCAGAGGGAGCTGAGCGAGATGCGGGCCCCTCCGTCCTCCGCCAACTCTGCCAAGAAAATGAAGTTCCAGGGAGAGCCGAAGAAACCCCCCATGTGAGTATCTGGGGCCTGGGGTCCGAAAAGTTGGATCTGGAGGTGCAAGGGGCTTGGTGCAAAAGAGCCTGGAGCAGCCCCGGGCTGGACCATGGTGGGTGGGGATGGATGGTGGTTAGTGCGGGCTGCTGGTGGACACCATGGTTCTCCGTGCATGCCATCTGATCCAGTCTCTGTGCT